GAGTCTCAATCAAAATTTTAATTAGATTATATGTTTTATTATATTTAAAAAGTGTAAGTCAAATCCTGGTGTTTCATTGCTCAAGATCTTCTATTGGTATTCCTCATAAAAATCCACACTCTTTGTACTGATCTGCAAGGCCATACTTGATCTGGTGTCTGCCCATGTGTCCCATTTAGCTACCACTTAAACTTACTGACTCCACTGTAGAAACAGTGGCCTTCTTGCCATTTCCCACTATTACCCTTCTATTCACCTAAGGCCTTGCTCTTCCCTTTGAAATGTTGTCTAGGTCTTTTTTTAGCTTATACTTCTATATTGCTGCTTAATGTCACTGCTTCAGAGGACTTTTCAGCTATCCTCAATTCTCATGACCATTCTCTGCTTCATATTTATCTATAGTACAGTGATATGTATACCACTAAGTGCCATTGTTTTATATAGTTGTTTGGCTATTGTTTCTACTACAGTATAAACTTGGAGGTAAGAAACATTATCTGTTTACCACTGAATTGCTAGTACCCAAAATAGTGCCTGGTATTACTCTATGGTAGATATGGACGATAGAATTGTTTTTATTTTGGTCCATTCCTCACTTAACTTATATTTTATTTTTAAAATTTTATTTTATTTTGAGTTGGAGTCTTACTTTGCTGCCCATGTTAGAGTGCAGTGGCACACTCACAGCCACCTCCATGTCGACCTGCTGAGATCCAGCGATCTTGCTGTTCCTCCTTCCATGTAGCCGGAACTACAGCCACACACTATCATGCCCGGCTCATTTTTTATTTGTTGTAGAGATGAGGTCTTGCCAAGTTGTTCAGGCTGGTCTTGAACCCGCGGGCAGTCCACTCGCCTCGGCCTTCCAAAGTGCTGGGCTGACAGGCTGAGCCACCGAGCCCAGTCTGAACTTTTATTTAAAACATTTCTATTATAGAGATTACACAGGTGGTTAGAGACTCAATTCAAGTTATTTCTTGTTCACTCAGAAGCTTCAACATTGAAAGATTGAGTAGAAGAGGATGAACTAGTAAAGGTCAGAAACAGGACTGTCAGGAGAACATGGGGTCATAAAAAGACAAGGGACAAGAATGTTTCCATGAAGGAGTGATTATATGTTGCAATAAAGTTGAAATAAGAACTGGGAGATGTCAATTGACTTAAGGAACATGGAGGTCATTGAATCTTAGTGGGCTTTGTTGTGTGTTGAGTGTGGCAGTCAGACAGATGGTTGAAGAATCAGTGAGAGTCAAGGAGTTAAAGATTGTCACTGTAGATTATTCTAAAAGTAAGCTCTAAAGGGGAAAAGAGAACTGATAATAGTTGATGGGGGGAAAAGGAGGTTTCCCTTTTTTTAAGATTGGAGAGATTTAAATGTTTTTGAATACTAGTGGAAAGGATTTAGTACAGGTTTAAACAAAAATAGTGGATTATTTGTAATGTAAGTTTCCTGAATAGGGCACAGGAAGTTGGTGGATCTCGGATTCCCCAACCCCCACTGGCCTGTTAGGAACTGGGCAGCACAGCCCAAGAGCTGCGGGTGAGGGAGTGAAGCTTCATCTGTATTTGCAGCTGCTCCCCATAGCTCGCATTACGGCCTTAGCACTGTCTTCTGTCAGGTCAGCGGCGGCTTTAGATTCTCATAGGAGCTTGAACCCTATATTGTGAACTGAGAGATCTAGGTTGTCTGCTCCTTATGAGAATCTAATGCCTGATGATGTGAGGTGGAGCTGAGTCGGTGATGCTGGAGCTGGGGAGTGGCTGCAGATACAGATTAACATTAGCAGTAAGGTTTCATCCCCCACCCCCCATCCTTGAAAAAATTGATTTTCCACGAAACCAGTCCCTGATACCAAAAGGTTGGGGACTGCTGATCTAGAGCATAATGTAAGGGAAAAGTGGAAAAGGTATTCAAGTTGCAGGTAGGTTTAAGTTTGGTATAGGTTATCTGAAAGGGAAATTCTGTCTTGTAGTTATTGTTTGTGAGGTAGGCCAGATATGAGGCCAGCTAGTATAAGCAAGAGGGAGCAGTGGTTTGGTTTTGTTTTGACTTACATGATTGGTCTGATGGCGAAGCCATTAATATGAAAAGGATTCTATAAGTGGAAGACATTTTGTGCAGGTAGGGAAAAATGACTTGTAGCACCTTACTTAGAAGAAAATCTAATGCCTCATCTGGAGAGTCTCTCTCTGACTCTGCCACTCTCACTTGCTAACTCTATTTGTCATACTACTGGCCTTCTCTCTGATATTCAAACATGCCCAGTTTATTACTGCTTTAGTGTCTTTGCACTATGTGTAGTTTCTGCTTAGATTTCTCTTCCCCTGGCCTAGCTGGCTTGATATTTGGTTCTCTGCTTAAGTATGTTACTTCTTTAGATACTTGATAACTAGTCACTAAAATCAATTCATTCTCATACCACCCTACTCTAATTTAATGTTGCAGATTACTCGGCACCACTCCCTTATTTACCCAACTTCTGGAATGTAAGTTCTATATTGACAGGGATTTAGTGTCTCTAGTTTATTGCAGTATAGCTCCTGTAACAGTTAAATGTGGATAATAATGACTGAACAAAAGTTTTCATAGCCACTTTGAGACGGTCTCCAGATGGCAAAGATGTATCAGAAAATGCACAAATGGACTTTTATTAGCAAGTGTGGGGCCAGATATTAGTTGTCTGTCCTTTGAGAAGCAGATGAAATGTCTTTGAACTCCATCTCGTGTGTTTGGATAATCTCCCCAGTCTCTCTGGGGGAATTAGAGGGGAAGTTGTTGGCCTTGAGCTGATGATCACTGAAGTCTATAAAGCTGATAAAGCTGATGCTGCAAGTGTACCGAGAAAAGCAATGGATGGAAAAAAGATGTGGGGAGGTGGGCCACAACTGAGTTCAAAAAAAGGAAGGAGCAAGGAAAGAGTTTTCAATGCCTTAAGGGAAACCCCCATGAAAAGCAGCATTTCAAAAGACAAAGGGAAAGAAATTTTGAAGAATAGGTTGGTAAAAGTAAAAAATCTTAAGTAGAGTGAGACAGATAGCTACTGTTTTAGATGGGAAGGAGGTAGGACTTGGGAATAGCTACATGCTATCTTTGAAATAATATTGAATGAACTAGGAATCAAAATGTTATTGAGCAAATTGACTTGCTACCTGATGCACACAGAAGCCAGTAAGTATGGCACTGGTCTTTGAGAAAACAGAGGCTTTATATTGCAAAACAGTCAGCAAGGAGGTAAGAGGAAGCTCAAACCTTTCTCCCTAATTTGGAGTCTGGGACAAGATTTTTTTTTTTCCCCCCTGAGTTGGAGTCTCTGTCGCCCAGGCTGGAGTGCAGTGGCAGGCTCATGGCCGCCTCAGCCTCGACCTGCTGGGCTCAGGCGATCCTTCCGCCTCAGCCTTCCTAGTAGCTGGAACCACAAGCGCATGCCACCACGCCAGACTTATTTTTGTTTATTGTAGAGACAAGGTCTCGCCAAGTTGCCCAGGCTGGTCTTGAACCCCTGGGCTCAGGCAGTCTTCTCGTCTTGGCCTCTGGAAGTGCTGGGATGACAGGCATGAGCCACTGCGCCCCTGGTTAGGCAAGTTTTAAGGGATCAGAGGGCAAAGGGAAAGATTCAGGAATGTTGGAGGGTCTGACTGGAAGGCTTCAAAGTTTACCACTGAAGGTATGTCGAGGCAGGTTTTAGCTCAGGATCTTCCGGGCCAGGGACCCCCCGCTTCTAAAAGAGTTCCAGCGTGCAGGTTCTGGCCACGTCCTGACCTTCTTCGTCCGGAGGGGAAGGCTTGTTGATTCCGGGTGGTGGTGCAGGTCGAAGCTCTTTTCTCTCGCGCGTGACCGGGCTGCATGACTTGGTTTCTGGCGCCTGTGATCCCTAAAAGGTCACCCAACATTTGTGAACAGGGCAGGCCACGATGACACGCAAGTTGGGTTTCTGCGTCCGTCTCCTCAGTTACCACGAAGCGAACGCCGGCTTCTTCCGCACGAGGCGGATCATCCGCTCTGAACATCCGTTTTCTCGCCTGCAGTGGGGTGCACGTAATCTGCGCGGCTAACTTTCGAGCGCTGTCCAGAAGCTTGCAGCCACGGCCAGGATACGCGCGCGGCGAGGATACGCGCGCGGCGGACACCTCACTTTTGCGCAGACACGACCGCCGCTGGGGGGGCGGGACGAAGGCCCCGGGGGGCTCCACGCTGCCTCGGGCAACCCCAAGTTTGAGAGACGGGCGGGGTCGAAGGGACTGGCCGCGGAGGACCAAAAGCGCCCGCAGGGCTCGCCC